ACTTGGAAGCACAAAGTACATCAGAACCATAACCAGTCTGCGTAACACAACATGTCTTCTCATTGAATTCTGAGATGTTACCAGTAAGTGATCACAAATCTCCCCCCTGAACCTGGATGCTCCCAAAACCTACAATACTTCATTTTTAATCTGTGAATCTTCAGGCAAGAAAACTGGAAACACAGTCTCTTCACTATTTGACTTGCAAGCAACCACCGCGCATGATGCTAACTCAGAATTTACAGTGTTCGTGGCTAATATTTCTATATCAGCCCCCTCGGATATTGAGAAAGCTGGTGGCAAGAAATCCCCGGGACTCACCATTCAAGGGATGTCTGTGACTCAGCTTGAGGCCCTGATCATCTGTAGCATCACCGTTGTTTCCCCTTGAAAGCGGTAGCTGCAAAGACAACAGGTGAAGCCTGGATAGCTGCAGTGACCGACTCCTCATCATCTGACCGCATCCTGGCCAGAAATGAGGCAGGAGATGAGAGGTCTGACCGAGACTGTGAGGATGAGCGGCTTATCCGTGGCAGAGAGGTGGATAAAGGTGACTCAGGCCTGGAAAAGAGCCTCAGCGAGCCAACCCAAAACTCCTCGGGGCCCCGAGGCTGTGGTGGAGAACGCTGAGCAGAAGAGGCGTTCAGGAAGGGCTGAGCAAGGCTTGGGCTTCGTACTCCTCGGCTATGGAGAGGACCCGCTCTCGAGCCTCCACAATCGCTGTAAACTGAGTCAGCCGCGGCTCCCTCTCGAGGATCGCCTCCATGGCTGATAAAACAACGGAAACAGTCCATGGATGCTGAGACGTGTGGATATGAGCGGTGATCCTCAGCAGTCTCTCCGTCTTCTCGTTTAAATCAACAAGAGTGTCGAGACCTCGCTAGGTCCATGCTCACCCTCACAGGCTCAGGTCGTCCTGTTAAGGCTGAGCAGTCGGTGTGTTTGTGGTGTGGACCACAAACACGGAGCAGACATAGGAGCAGAACTAAAATGTAACAAAAAGCAAGCCGGGCTGGGCTGTTGGCAAAAAACAAAAATAAAAACAGTGCAAGCTGGGGCAAAACTAAACTAAAAACTAAATTGGGATAAGCTAACACTAACATGGAAAACTGTGACAGGGGGCGTAAACATTAATCAGAACAGGTGCATGCAAAAACTATGATGAGAAACATGAACATGAACCTGAACCGAAGCTTGAAAAGAATTTTGTGACTTAAGACAGACAAACAGACGAGCCGACATTGAACAGAGGAAGACAGAGGACTTAAATACATAGAAGGGTAATGAGGGAAGTGGAAACACCTGAGGAAACACAGCTGGCACAAATAAACATGACGCCACAGGGGAAGCAAAACTAAACACACTGAACATAGCAACACGTTCTCACTCCCAAGGCATCACATTTTAGGCTAGGTGACAAATCGTCAACATATTACGTTTTCGGCTACCCACCACGTTCCTAAATGACGACCTCG